TTGGCCAGTGGTCAGCCCCTAAAGTGTCCCAATGACAAGACAGTAGTAAAGGCTTGAATGTCCTTTATGGGTACTGATGCTCTTGGTTTTGCCTTTTCTTGTTTTCTCTGTTTCCTGCCTCCGGATTGCTGCTGCCTGGGACACCACCTCATCTTGGATGGCATCATCACAGAACGTATCTCCTCGATGGGTTAATATCGGCTTTTTACTTTCCGGGCTCGTGGTGTGGTGTCTTGTGTGCTTGTCCCTCTGCCCATCCATCCCCCTGCGGCCTGGCTTGCAGAGGATTCCAGGGTGGGCCTGCCTTCCCAGGGAAGGCTGCAGTTCCCTTGGTCTGTGAAGTCCCAGCACACCCAACCCTGTGTGTCCCTGTCACCTTCGGAGTGTGTGCCTTGTCTCCTAGCCCACCGTCCCTGACAGAGCCTGTGGTCTGGGGAGGAGAGCCTTTCTCTCCGAGTCCAGGGGTTCTCATGGTGTAGGTGTGTAATCATGTGGGAATCAGAGCTGGAGTTGGAAGCATAGAGTCCTTATGCGTGTTGGGCCATTGTGATTTGATTGATCTTTTGCCTTTACTGCCCCAGCGCGTCCAGAAGGAACTCCTGTTTAGTCCCTAGGTGTTAAGTGGTATGAAACTAGACAACAGCATTTAGGGGCTCAGACTGCGTATAATCAATGATAGAAAGAGTTCTAGGTTAACAGCACCCCCCACACACACATAGGCTGACTTCCTGGGGCAGGTTTTTAAGTGCACAGTGTGTTGGAACCAGCAGAGGAGCAGGGCTGGCCCTTCTGGGTCTTCGCTGGTCATCTCTACACTGTGGCTGAGGCCCACTGAAAGGCCCTTTGGGATCCAAGAGGCTAGCGTGGGCGAGACCACAGTGGCTTCAGCTAGTTTCACAAACAGGTTAACTCAGCCTTGACAGTGGTGATGGGAGCAATATGCCCAGCTAATCTGGCTGCATGTGCTGAAGGATCAGGGCTACAGTTTACAAGTCTGAACTCTACATGCTGGCCCTCGGCTCTCCTCCTCAGCTCCATGGCTACGTCTCTTGGTCTTGATCTGTGAGATGTTGTGCTCCCCTTTTCTGTAGCTCATCCCAAGCCCTGGCCCATCCAGCCCCGGTGTCAGCTGCCTGTCTTCCCGGGCCAGCGCCCAGGCTGCTCCCTGGGTGCGGGGACTGACTGGGCCCAGGTAGCTAGCCATGGCCTGTGCACTGCCAGCTTGGACTTGTGCCGTGTGCCTGTCTTGATATGCTCTTGCCCGCCCCCCTGCCTTTGGTGTATTCATTCGGTTTCTTTTCTTTGACTAGCATAGCATATCGTCGGGTCATTCGTGTCTATCAGTATGAAGTTGGGGATGATCTGTCTGGAAGGTTTTTCTCCTCTTATTTCTCTTCTTACCTCACTGTGGTTTTACCAATGCACTCTTGACTTCCCCAGGCGGCTCCGCTTACTGACTAACCCACCGCCCTCGGCCGCTTGGGAAGGAGGGGTCTGTCCCCCTCCCACTGCACCAGCACCCAGCCTCCTGCCCCCAGATCCTGGGGGTGTGCTTTTCCCTTGGGGACATGGCGTGACTGTGAGTCTGATCTGCGGGGTAGGAGGAAGCCTGGTGCCTTGCCTTGCTAGAGCACTCTGAATTTGGGGAAATTTCAAAGTTAACCTGGTTCACTGGGTTTGAAAAGGGTCTACTGGGAGAAAGATGGGTTCAGGGGAGGCTGGACTAAAATCCCCTCAAGGACACGAGCACAGTGTGAACTTGTCCCTGCATGATAACCCCAACTTGTTTGTGTCGCTGTTCACTGGTAGCCTCTGTGGCCTCACTGTGATGCTGGGAAAAGGGTGGCTCCCGTAGCCCACCTGATGTCCAGGGCCTGCCTTGGCCCTGGATATGGTCTCTGGCCCTGTTTGTGTGTCTAATTTATGGAATGTGGATCCAGGGCATAACCAAAGCTACCAGCTCTCTGCAGAATTGATCTACTTTTGAAACTCAAATATGATTGATTATAACCCCTTAGCACTTGAGGCTCCTGACTACACCCCGCCCCTTCCCAAGTTGCTGTCATCCACCCTAGAATGTGGCTCTCCTCTCCTGAGGTACCTCCAGGGGTTCAGGGTGGCTGTCAGCCTCTCCTCCCCCCACAAATTGTCCACTAAGCCAGCAGAGAAGATACACTGTTAGGCCTTCCACACTCTGCAACCCTGAGAAATTGCCACCTTTTCAAGGCCTGGCTCGGCTTAGGTCAAGTACCATGGCACTCTCCCTGGGTCCAGAGAGCCCCAGGAGCAGGGGTCCTGCCAGAAACAGGCTGGGTGGGGCTCAGCCCTGGCCTTGGGCAGGTGCTTTTATCAGACAATGGCATCCTGACTGAACTAGAGAATGTTCCCTGGCTCACAGAGCCAGTTAGCAGAAGATGACGAGTGACACATGGGGTGAGGGAGTGGAGGCTACTAGGCACTGTTAGCAGACAGGTGTTCATTGGAGTGATTGGTCCACCGTGAGGAGTCCATGTTCTCACTGTGCTTCTGTGTTCAGGTCCTGTATGGTGGAAGAGTCAGGCACCCTTGAGTCCCAGCTTGAAGCTACCAAAGTAAGTACTCTTGGACTGGAGCCCAGTGAGACACCCAACCCCCAAACAGGCCTGCCTGTCCTTCCTTGATTTAACATCAGGGGAGCAAAATGGGTTGGTTGGAACCCCTTTTCCCTTGGTTAAAAAGCATTCTGAGACCCCTATCATTTTAAAGATTTTAATTTTAAGGCTTCTGACTTTACCAGGCCCCTTTTGTCCTTGGGAGATCCCATTTCACCTGCAGGTCTACAAAGCTGTTCTGGATTTACCTTCATTATCACTTTAGACAGCAATCAGAGGCCTGGTCCTGGAGGTCTAAGGCTGGCTGTGAGGACACTGAAGGGCTGTGGCCTAGGCAAGAGCCCCTAATCCCACACGGTTCTGCTCTCATCCCACAGCGCAAACACCAAGAGATCAGAGCCATGAGGAGTCAGCTCAAGAAGATTGAGGACCTGGGAGCTGCCATGGAGGAAGCTCTGATCCTGGACAACAAATACACGGAACACAGCACCGTGGGCTTGGCCCAGCAGTGGGACCAGCTGGACCAGCTGGGCATGCGCATGCAGCACAACCTCGAGCAGCAGATCCAGGCCAGGTACCTGAGTGGATGTGCAGGCAGTGAGGAGTGTGAGGGTGCAGACTCAGCCTGGGCTTGGCTCACAAACCAGCAGCCGTCAGTACACACCTGGGCATTGGGAACATATCACTGCTGTGTAACGTGTGACTCGAATTCTCTTCTCCTTCCAGAAACACTACAGGTGTGACTGAGGAGGCTCTCAAAGAGTTCAGCATGATGTTTAAGTAAGTACCCCCACCCCTGCCTTCCCTAGGGACAAGGAAATGGACTAAGCAGAGGTCTGTGTGCTGAGCAGCCTTTGGCTTTGTGCTGCAGACACTTTGACAAGGACAAGTCTGGCAGGCTGAACCACCAGGAGTTCAAGTCTTGCCTGCGCTCCCTGGGCTACGACCTGCCCATGGTAGAGGAAGGGGAGCCTGACCCTGAATTTGAAGCAATCTTAGACACTGTGGATCCAAACAGGTAAACCTCAGGGAAGGTGTTGGACACATGCTTACTCCTGACTGCTGCCCTCCCTCTCACTCCCTTTGTTCACCCCTCTCATAGGGATGGCCATGTCTCCCTGCAAGAATATATGGCTTTCATGATCAGCCGTGAAACTGAGAATGTCAAGTCTAGTGAAGAGATTGAGAGCGCCTTCCGTGCCCTTAGCTCAGAGGGCAAGCCGTATGTGACCAAGGAGGAGTTATACCAGGTATGTAAGCTCTGGGACGTGGTGTAGAGTAAGGATTTACCAGGACTTCGCTGTTGGGAGGCTTCTCCTTGAAAATTAAAGCCAGAGGTTGCCCATGAATAAGGAGTAACAATGCTAACAATCTTGTTTTACACCCTACCTTGTGCTGTGTGCTTATAACCCTACTTGGCCAAAGTCCCTAAATGCTAGTAGATATGGCCTTTACACGCAGTTGGGCTGTGAATGGAGCATATAAATGGTTCTTCCTAAGACTTCTCATCTAGTCAGTACCAAACTCACCTGCCTGTGTAGAGTTGCTCCGTAGTTTTCTCAGGAGCCCTCAGTGTCAGTGATTAAGCACCCAACTGCTAAGTGATGTTCAAGTCAGACCCACCTGGAAGTGCCTCAGAACACAGGCCTTGACAACCCCATTAAACACACACAGGGTCACCAATGCATGCACTTGACAGAGTTTTCTTGGCTGTAAGTAGATTGTCAGGGCTTTTCTCTGGTGGTACTCACTGGTTGGTGGGCTTGAATTGCCAACCTCTCTGAAATTTTTGCAATCAGTTGCTCTGCCTCAGTGGCTGAGCTAACAGGTGCCATTTGTCCCTTCAGAACCTGACTCGGGAACAAGCAGACTACTGTGTCTCCCACATGAAGCCCTACGTCGATGGCAAGGGCCGCGAGCTCCCCACAGCCTTTGACTACATCGAGTTCACCCGCTCTCTTTTCGTGAATTGATCCTTTTAGCTTGGCCCCTCGCTGCTTGTCGTTGCCTTGCTGCATGTCGGTTCAGTTTTGTGCTCTTAAAAAATATCTATTCCAGACAGTGTTACTTTCCAGTGTAACCTTAAACCTGCTTAGCTTGGGGTAAGACTTAGTAAATGGTGCTTCAATAAACGCTTGGTCCAATCACAATGGCCCTATTGCTGTGGGGACCCAGACTCATGTCCTGAAACCAGCTGTCATCATTCCGGATTCAGAAAATCTAAGCAGCTGGATAGTTAGTGCCCTTCTTGTACCACCACCCTCAAATTTTGTTTTCATGTAAACAACCAATAAACGACTTGACTCTCCCCCAAGAACTTTTGTTTGTCTTCATTTGGCTCAACACAGATACAGCCTTGTACCGCCTAACCACAGCCTCCTGGGATCGTGGCTGCTCCCTGAGGACAAGTCATGTGGTCACCTCCATGACAAGCTGGTCCAAGTCCTCTGCTTCCCTAGGCCCTTGTTGCATGAACTCGGTGCTCAGCTGCCAGATCTTCACGGTGCCTGTGGCATCCCCAGCAGCCAGAAGCTGAGTCTGCTGGTGGTTAAACTCCAGGCAGTAGACAGGGCTTGTGTCCTGTGTTTGCTTGATAGAGACTGTGGGTTTCTGGGAGCTTTTCTGAAGATCAAACAGCTGCACGTCACCTTCAGAGAGAAGCGCAGAGCAGCAATTCCTTAGAACTTACACATGCATTTGGCAAGGAAAGTCCTAGGCCACAGTTCAAAAATAAAGCCAGTGCCACAAATCCTGTCCTCAGGGACCACTGTTTCTTTAAAACCAACTGGGTTTCTGGAGGAAAAGCATCTTGCCCCCTAGAGTGTCTCCCTCACCCACAGTTATTCTTAAATGAGCCCAGACCTGGTCTATTTCTTACCTTCCCCAGAAGCAGCAGCAAAAACCAAGGGGCGCACTGGGGACCAGCGAACAGCAAACAGGTACTTATGAGACAGCTGCAGTGACATCAGGGGCTGGGCCTGCAGCATGGAGTACAGGTGGACGTGGCCGTCGGTCCCTGCACTCAGGAAGAGGTTCCTGGAGATGAGGCAGGGCAAAGTAAGGAGTAATGTCCAGCATCTGGCGTGCTGCTGGGCTTTGAAATGCCGCCATGGCCCCCAGACCTGTGATGTGTCCTTACAGTAGGAGATTGCCCAGGACACCAGTGCTCAAGGAATGTGGAGATGCAGAATGACAGTCCTGATGGGTCAAAGGTCAGCTCTGGGGACCATGCGTGCCACCTCACCCACTCACCCCACTCCCTGCACTGGCTTTGGAGGACAAGGATGCCAAGCCTGGTCATCCTTACCTGTGGAAGGGAGAATAGCTCACAGAGTAGATGGGACCTCCATGGGGAGAGAAGGTAAACTGCGCTGGTGCCCGCAGGGGCACAGAGCTGGGCATCCGCGTGAGGGCTGCCACCTCTGCTGCCAGGGAGCACTTGAGTGGGAAGCCGCCTTCCGTGCCCAGAACAAAAAGGCTGGGGTCAAAGCTGGAGAAAGCCACGGCTGTGACACCCACCTCAGTCTCTCCCCGGATTGGCTGTGGAGAAATGGCAGCAGTGGGTCAGAATTGAATCCTCCTGTGTTAATTATGTCTGTGAGGAGAGCAAGGCTACTGAGAGCACAGCTGAGACACTGCTGGCCTCCCTGGTAACCCTTCCTGCCCAAAAGGCTCATGCCCTCAAGGAAGCTGACTCTCCTGGCCCAAAATCCAGTGGGGCAACAGCTGGCCTGAGATGTTACCTTCTTCAGCTTGGTGTTCCGGGGAAGTTGCTGCACAACTGTCACAAAGCCCTTGGTGAGCTGCAGCAGCCCCGAGCCGACCCCCTGCCAGAGCAGCACCTTCCCGTCAGTGGCCGCGCTCAGCAGCTGGAACCGGAGGCTGTGTCTAGGCATGGGCAGCCACACCACCTGGAACAAACAGTGTCAGCAAGATCCAGAAAGGGGTTATGTCTGGCCGGTCCTTGCCCATCCTACCCTCTTCTGGGGGTGGTCAGATAACCAGCCTCACCCTCCAGGGGACCAGATAGGTTCAAGGTCGCGCCTTTATTCTAGAATCCCAACGCCAGACAGAAGTTGGGACAACTAGGAGCCACTTCCTACAGCTGCTGTGTAGGGGCAGGGAGTGGTCACAGCCGCCACGGGGAGCAGGGAGGTGATAATGGCGCAAGTCATTTGGGCCTCGAGAATGCCAAAAGCAGCCTACTGCCAGCTCCCTAGTGACCATCTTCCCAGGAAAATGGCTGCCATGCCAGGCAAATGCCACGTCTCCTCTGCTTCCAGGCCAAGGCCCAGCAAAGGGAGTTGAGAGAGAACATGGGGTGCTCCAACCTGATATACTGGGTCTGTGTGTGTGTCATCTGTCAGGCCTGTGCACCAGAGCAGGGAGTCCTCAGGACGACTCAGGTCCCATACCACCACCTCACCACTGTACAGCCCCCCTGTGGACACCAAGCAGACAGACAGGCTAGGGGCTCCCACAACCAGAGTTTCTGCCCTTCCCACCCTGAGACAAGACCTGAAGCCAATTCCCCAAAAGGTGCCTCTGAGCCTCAAGGCCAGCTCCCCCCTGCTCCATCTCAGGAGGCTTTCCACAGCCCAGCAGTCCTCTACCAACTGCCAGGCTGCACAGTGCTGACCACCACACCTGCTGCCTCTCCCCAGTTTACACAAGCTCACACCACCCACGGGTCTCCGTGTCCTCCTACCTCTTGTCCTGACCAGGCTGCTATGCCAAGGGGGCCTCTTGGCACTGACCCACGTTTACCTCTTGACTTAGCTGAGGGCTGCCTCCCTTGTCTCTCAGTTCCCCCCACCTAGTCCATGAGAGGGAGCACAGCAATCTGGAAACAGCCTGCACTACCTCTGCCTCCCAGGAAATGACCCCAGCAGCCATGGCGAGCACAGAGATGTAGGGGACTCACCTGCAATAAGAGCTGGCTGAAAGGGGTGGAAGGCCAGGCACATGACAGCGCTGGGCACGTCAATCACCAGCGATGGCTGCCGGGGGTTCAAGCATCGTCGGTCCAGGTTCCAGGTACACACAAAGGACTTGAGCGTGCTCCAGTCCCCATCGTCCAGGCTGCACAAAGACAGGCCTCAGCGGGCCCTGCCCTGGGCCTCATCTTCATCCCAACCACCCTGCTCTGTCCAGCGAGCCTAGACGAGCACACTGTGTCCTCACAGCCGGACCCTACACTTGGGTGACAAGCAGCACAAACTCTTTCCTGTCACCCCAAGAATATGGGTCTCTCTGGCAAAGGGTCCTAGGAACTGAAGATGAGTCCATCAACCTCCACAGCAGTGGGAGGGGCAGAGGAACCTTACTGCATCAACAAACAGGCAAGAAATGTTCAACAGAGAAGACAAGGCAGGCATGCCTTGCACATGTGCGAAGCATGCCCAGTGTGGACAAGGGGCACCACAATCTTAGCTCTCAACATCCCTCTGCCCACCCTGCCCAGGCAACCAGGAGACCCTCAGGATCGCCAAGTTCTCCAAGCCGGCCCTTCTCTGGCAGAAGGGAGACAAGAGGCCCAGACAAGGTCTCGGGATCCTCACTGGACAGTGGTCACCCAACCACCACTCACCGGCCATAGGCACAGGCCACCACGGAGCCGGTGGTGTTCCAGGAGATGCTGGTCACATGCAGACCCTGTGCTTGGGCTGCGGGGTAGCTCAGGCTGTGCAGACAGGATACCTGCAAAGACAGGTCACCCCAGGCCTAAGCCCCAATAGCCTATAGCCTACACAGCATAGACCATTTTAGGTAACACAAAGCCCTATAGCAGTCTGAATCCACTGCCCTGTCCCATCATCTTCCCTACAAGGAAACTGGAGAAACCTCAATGAGAATACTCACATACACACCCTGTCCCCAGCTGAAGGCCCTTGATGGCATGTCTGCAGAGTGAAAATGCTCCATGATTTCCAGGACTGCAACCTTCCTCTCACAAGACACCACTCTGCGTGAGTTCAAACCTCCAATCTTTATGGTTAACAATATTGTCCTGTACCAGTCAGATCCACTTTGACGGTACACACATAAAAAAGAATAAAATAAAAAACAAAACAATAGAGGGAGCTCTGGTGGCCTAGTGGCAAGATGCTGTACTGCAATCCCAGTGGTAAGCTGTTCAAATCCACCAGATGCTGTGCTGGAGAAGGAGGGGGCAATCTCCTCCTGTACCAGTTAGATCTGATTTGATGGTTGTTGTTATGTGCCATCGAGTCGCCTGCGACTCATAGCGACCCTATGTACAACAGCCCTAA